GTTTGGTTTTCTCTTTTTCTTTTTTGAAGCGTCAGTTTGTTTTTCCTTTTCTTCAACATAATTTCTACGTTTTCTCCGAAATTACATTAGTCAATATATATATAAATACACTAACAAAGTAACACACTGCCAAATTACCATTGATGCAGAAGCTATGATTTTGATTTTTTGGACTTCACAACATCTTCTAAGCTCGTACCGAAACAACAACAAAAATTCCCGTCCGCCACAGTCTCCAAACTGGTATTGCTAGTGCCACTATATTTACATAGTCGCTAACGCCAGTTGAAGCAAAATAATAAATCTTAGCTCAATTAAATTGTTATGGTTTACTTGTACAAATTTTGTTAAGAAATTTGTTACAAATAATATTTTCACAAATCTTTATAAAATTTGCTACATATTTATAGCTGCCAAACTCGTTTATCAGAAATACTTATAGTTTTCCACCAAAAAAAAGAAAGAAATACTTATAGTTTGATTTTCATCGTAAAATTATACTATCGATTGCTATAGTTAAGTGATTTCATAACAGTTAGTGCACAAATATGTAGCAAGGACATTAATTATTTTGCCTATGATTTTAGTTCATAAAATTCCTATTCTAATCTACGAAAATTGTCATAGTCCTCTTGAGGTGTGTCGCCCGACCCGTTCCGTAGTGACTAAGATTTTTATACCCATTACAAGCTTGTCGAGATTCTAAAGACATTCACACTTATGTTAAGTACTTGTGGTTATTATTATTATTTTCGTAACAAATACTTCCACGCATGAATTAATATTCTCCAATAATCATTCTTTCTATGCCAATACAAAAGGAATTTGTTAATACAATTATAAAAAGAAACTTTCAAAACTTGCAAGTAAATGATTTAAAATTTTATTAGTTCTCACGTATATAACTTTTTTCCAACAACATACTATAACATTATATCGGTTCAGAAGCCCAAACACCTACAAAAATTATTTGTCGAAATATATTATCAACTTATATATAAATATATTAACCGTTTTCTAAATAATTTGTGTTGACATCATAGAAGAACTAGAAATATAAGAAAGCAAAAACGTTAGTATAGTATCTATATTAATATTGAAAACAAACAGTGGTTACTGGACAATACATACTATAGGATCCAAAAACTTTCGGGTTCGTCGATTAAAATTATTGTTAAGTATAATCACATTTTGCCAATCTTTTAAGATTCCAAACATTTGGCAAAGTGTTTTGTAATCAAAAGTTTTTAAATCTATGAAAAATTATTATCCGGTTGAATTAAAAAATATAAGCTTGGTAGCATCTAGTAATATTATTTTTGCATATGCGTGGGAATAAGCCACGCGAGGAAGGTCATGGTAAGACGAGAAGATGCCATCAGAAATAAAGAAGAAATTCATAACATCTATATAGAACACAATATTTAGTATTTACAATTTTTTTTATGAAAAAATAGTATTTACAATATTGTTTTAACCCAAAGATCGAACAATGAATTTATAGCAGATAGGAGGGTTTCGTGTATTAGAAGTTGAGCTCGAAATAAGTGTTACAAAAAAGACCGCTATAGATAGTCCGGACAGATCCGGTCTACCTGATTACTATAGACTAAAAAGAGAGTAATAGACCGGACAGATCCCGGGCTACTTGTTCGCTGCGAGCTAGTATGTAATGTGAGTGTTTGCGGTGTTTCCCGGTCGGCGGTGGCCTTCCGGTGAATTCTCTGTCGGAGTTAGAGACCTGAACGGTTATGCTCTGGGTCCCTTGTACTTTTCCTCAGAGAATGAAAGATGATTAGTCACATCAGCTTATTCCCCTATTTATAGTACAAGGTTTTGAGGGTACATACTAGGTTTTATCAACCGTAGTTACCGAATCTGACTCAGGCTTAACCAGACCGCGGTTACTGTTTGAGTTGGGCTTCCATTGTTCTCGGACCGCTGACCGCCGGGTCGTAGACCGTTTGGGCCGCAAGCTTAGGCCCAACAGTAGCCCCCCCAGTCAGCGAAATGGGATGGGCCGAGCTTCGCTGTTTCTGCGTTCCTAGGCCCGAGAAGCGAAGCCCAATTCGAAGTCGTCTTCTGATTGGTCTATTTTGCCACCCTAATGCTTCTCCCGAGGTACGACGGTTCGTCTTCCGATCTGAGTCTATAAAAGGAAGAGCCC